CCAAAAGGTTAAGAATGAGAAAAGATAAAAGAAAAGGCAAAGTTGGACCTAATTAAGGGATAAAATTTTCCTAAAAACAGCCAAACTTGGGACACATAAAATAATAAGCATTTCTTTGAGTCTAGGCCTAAGATTTGACAGACTTATATATATATATATATTATATTTTTAGCGCTAAATCAAGTGGTAGAATGTTAAAATTGGAGTTTTGTGCGAAGAGTTAAACCCTTCCAAAGTTGAGCTAAAATACTAGAAATTCAAAAATTGACCATATGAACAGTACACTTTGTCGAATTTTCTAGTACTGTTTTGAATGGAAATGGGTCCAATGAGTATTTTCCTCCTAAAGCACTCATGACAACCTTCGTGTAAAAATTAGAACCACCCCGTTTCAATTTTTTTAGAATTAGTTATGAATTTTTAAAGTTGGCCTAAAATTTCTATGAATAGTGTACGGACAGTACGAAAATGAATAGTTTTGATCTTGAGTTTTCTCACTCTACAGCTTCAAAAATACCATGTAATGGTTCCAACTAACGTACAATAAGATTTAAAAGGAAGGTGTGACAAATAACTGTCGAGTAAATGTTACTAGAGACCATTAATTTGCCCACAATACTTGACGGTTTTTTATTAAAACTATTAAGTATTGTCTCAAATATTTGACGGTTATTAATCATCAAATATTACCTACACAAATGTTTGACGCCTTCATATTTAACGGTTTATAATTGTCAAGTATGGCCAAAAATAACCATCAAGTATTTAAAATTTTGTCGTACTGATGTGTTATGATGTTGTTATTGCTAACTCAATTGCAAGCATTTCATCAAGACAGTATTTTTTCCAAATTTGCCAAGTATTGATGTTAGAAAAAATCAATTTGTTAATCTCAGTAGGAAAATTGTTCAAATACATTGCGATGTTATTATTTCTAGCTCAATTGTAGGCATTTCATTAAGATGATAATTTTTTCCCAATTTGTTAAGTCTGGATGTTAGGGGGGGAAAACTTGTTAAATTCAAAAGTTTTTAAAATACGTTGCGATGTTATTATTTCCAACTCAATTGTAGGCATTTCACGGAGATGGTAGCTTTTCCCAACTTGCTAGGTCTTGATGTGGGCAAAAAAAACAACTTGTTAATCTCAATTTGAAAGATGTTAAAATAAGTTGCAATATTGTTCTTTCTAGCTCAATTGGAGGCATTTCATGAAGACGGGGTTTTTCACAATTTACTAAGTCTTGATGTTAGAGAAAAGTAACTTGTTAATCTCAATTCAAAAGTTATTAAAATGTGTTGTAATGTTATTATTTTCACTCAATTATAGGAAATATGCATTTTCTGACATTTAGAGATTTTTGTCATTTTCCCACATTTTCATAATGGCAATTCGGGCTTTTTCTTCTTTTATATCATTTGTCGTTGTTAGGTGCCTCACTTGAAATTTAGTATCTTCAACGTACTTTTTGGTCATTTTCTCTTATTTTTAAACTAAATATGGTTATTTCACTCCAATCATGTTTAATTTCATTAACCTCAGTTGCCCTTAATCTTGGTTAAATCAACATTAATTACCATACCCCTGTTAATCTCCTTTTACCCTAGTTGATTTTTTTTATTACCATAATAAATTTTGGAGCCATATTTATTTTTCATATTTAATTATGATAATTTCTCTTCCTCTTTCTTCCTTGTGAACGGCATATGACAAGGATTTGCCGCGAATGCACCCAAAATCGTATTCTAGACTAAGCTTATAGCATAGGGACAACTTAGATCGTATTCCTCTGAGGGGATTAATGATTGATTATGCTTAATAGCCGATTTAGACAATAAGACTCAAGTTAAGCAAAGACTATTCATTTTATATTTCCCAAACCACTAAATATTTGTTTATGAGTTTTCTTCATAATGAGCATGAGTGAATAAAATTTAGTTAAAAAGTGATTATGACATTCCTTGGTAGATGAATTCACTAGCCTTCCTTGTCCCTATTAATTCGATTCTCCTCTTTAATAGGTGATTAAGTGCTTAGATGACCATCTAAGCATAAGCTATCATATCCCCAAACATTATCAAATACATGGGCTATGCTCCATTCATTAATAAAATTAAAGGATGCCTAATATGCATAAAATAAGTGTACCGTCCTACTGTACTCATTCAAGTCAGCCGTCCAATCTAGTTGCTAACAGAAGGAGATGAGCATAAACTCACACATCAACACACTGTAACTTGCATATCAAAATGCATATGAATCAAGCATAATTAGGAAAACTCACACACATCAGCACACAGTAACTGGCATATCAAAATGCATATGAATCAAGCGTAATTAGGACGTAGCAATCACAAATCTGAAGCAAATCACTATCTCTATGTAATCTAAAGTGAATACAATACAATCAAATGCATAGAATAGGCAAAACCCATCAGCAGCCAAAATCCATTACAGTCGAATGTAAGGAAGTGAATAAGAGAAATAGAACTCCCTTAAAGCCCATAGGACTAGGACTAATGTCTCCATCACCGAGGAACAATGAGCTCAACCAGGCATGGAGAAAATAGAGATCGATCCACGAATTCAATCATGTTCCTCATCCATAACGTCACAGAGAGGAAGAGACTAGGAAGGGAGGAGGTGGAAATGATTTCTGGGGTATGAGAGGCTGAATGAGAGAGATCAAGAAAGAGAGTGCCGCAAAGAGTGAAGAAATCTGGAGATGAAGTGATCAAAGAATGAACCCCAAGTCTGATTTGCAATTAAGGGCAAAATGGTCTTTGACTCACCTTTCCTCTCCAAAATGGAAACCGCTTTCCTTTAATGAAAGGAAAGGAAATATGATTCCATGAAAATTCAACTCCCTTGAAATGGATTTCCCAAAAGCCTAATTAAGTGAAACAAAATAGGATCAACTATTCCCAATTGGGAATTATTTAGAAGCTAAGATACAATGGTGATTGGCACATATAGTACGGCCAATTGCTAGCTCGTAGATTTTTCATAACACTATTGTGCTAAAATGGGATGTATTTGGAATAGGTGTTCGGGATATTGTATATATGATAAGTGAAATGAAAATTGATCAAGTAATCTCTTTCTCTTTCTTTATCCAAGAACAATAAATTCTAATCGCAAAATGAGAAACTCACAAATTAACACATAAAACTCTCAAAATACATTTATTACCAATCATGCGCATTTATCCCAAATTGTGCCCAATTAAACAATTAAAAGTGTCGAAAGTCTAAACTCAAACAAAAGATTTTGACCCAAAAAAAGAAACTCAAACAAAACAAATATAAAAACATATAGGGATTTGTCAGTATCATTTTGGGGCTTATTGGGCCTAGTATTATGCTCTCAATTTAATTGGGCTTTAAGTATTAACATTCTTGGTGAAACTATATGAATTTTCATGCTTGATTAAACTTCGACCCAATAAATTTTAAATATTTTTCTAACGGTACCTTTTACTTTAATGTCTGTTTTGGCCTTTAGGCTTAAATACTAGGGAAAAAGACAGAAAAATACCCTTAAATATGTGAAAACCCAGATAAGTGTATGTGAAAAACAAAATACCATATCAGACCTGGGGTACTGATCTGGCATTTGCAAATGTTGTCCAAAGACATAATTGGCCCCGATAATGCAAAAAAAGAAAGACAACACAGAACGAAGCTTGTGACCAGAGGAGCTTCTGGGAAGGCAAAGGAGGGAATGAAAATCAGTGGAAGCTGTTGAAGAAAGGCCAGGTAAGTTTAATTTTAAAGTCATTAATACTGTCTGAAGTTCAGCTTCTTCTTCCTCCTCTCCTGATGGTTGTTATTTCAGCGGGCTGTGTATATGGGTGAGTGGGTTTTAGGTAGGTTAAGAGGTGAAGGTGTTGGGTTATTATTTTTTGGTGTTGCAAAGAACTTCATTCACAGGTTTTGGTCTTTCATTTTGTGGGTCTGCATCGATAGAAAGTGTTAAGCAAATTACTTCGTTGGTGTCCGATATAGGGTTCGATTGTCTACTGTTTGAGTATGGCAAAAGGCATTAGCGTGGGTGGCAAGCATGAGCATGAATAGTGAGGAGACGATGAAGTATGTAGTTAACATATAAGGCAAAGTTGTGAAAATCTAATGTGTTGTTGGTAAGAGAGGAAGTGGGGTTCTGTTACAGACAGTGACGAAAGTGAATAATGTATATTGTTTATTGTGTTTTTGCAGATTTGAGCATGGCAGAAGGCATTAGCTTGGGTGGCCCAACCTCTTTAAAGGAACTTTTGTGTTATTTTCATGTTGGAGGGACATTTGTAGTTAACGAGGAAGGTAGAGTTCAATATAAAGGGGGTAATGTGAGGCTAAGGAGCATAAAAGAAGCTATTACAGTTGAAGATTTAAGAGGGAAGATATCATTATGGTTTGGAATTGATGGTAATAATTGTGAGATGAAATATAGAGTAAGTTTTGATGAGAAGACACTAATAGATTTAGTTGATGAAGGTGAGATTGGGAACTTTTTTCAGTATAATGAGAGGCATGGCCATCTATACGTAGCATGTAAAGAGAAAGAAAGTGGTGCTGATATAATAGAAGATCTGGAAATGTAAGTGATATTTAATAGGCTATAGAAGTTGTCATTTGTTATATTATTATTGTTAATTTTGTTACTGAAGTTGTCACTGTGCATGCAGAGTTGACAGATTGTTGGGCCTGTCACAAGAAAGGTCTGGCTCATTCAGCAGTATGGAAATTGAGTATGAACCAGTGGGGCATGAAGATATGGGTGGGGCCTTAATGTATGAAGTTAGAGGCGGTTCTAGCAATATAACATGTGGAGTACAGTATGCACTAACACCATATCCTGAGATGAATTGTTCAAAATGGAGGGAATTGATTTCAAGACAGCTGTAAAATTTTGCACATGCAGAAGAGTTTAAAAAGGCAATACACAAATATAGCATAGAACATAATTTTGAGTTCAAGTATGTGAAGAATAGTAAGGACAAGATGTCGGTGAGATGCAAGGTTGAAGGTTGCCCATGGAAGATATGTGCAAATGCAGTGGGGAAGAAGACTCCTTTCCTATGCGTGACAACATTTGTAAATGAACATGTGCATAGTGTGCAAGACAATCTCCAAGTCAGCCATGGTGGAAGAGCTAGTTTGACATCAGCAATTATAATTGATGAGGTAAGGAATCACATAGACAAACGGCCTACTGAAATAATGACAATATTGAAAAGAGACTGTGGGGTGAATCTAACATACAAGCAAGCATATAGAGCTAAGGAAAAAGTAATGGAGGAAATACAAGGCAGACCTGAGCAATCTTATATGCTAATACCTTGGATTTGTCAAAGACTAAAAGAAAGTGATGAAAAAACTGTTGCTGAATAGGTTGCTACTGGGAATAACATATTTGAGCGAGTTTTCATAGCTTATAGGTGTTGTATAGAGGGTTTCTTAACTGGTGGTAGGCACATACTGTATATAGATGGAACTCACCTAAGTGGACTGTATAAGGGAACATTGCTGTCAGCATCGGCTTATGATGCGAAAAATGAATTATTACCATTTGCAATTGCCATTGTGAAGGGGGAAATATATGAGGATTGGTCATGGTTTCTGCATATGATTAAAAATATCATTGGCTCTAACCAGTTAACAATAGTTTCAGACCGTCACAATTCAATCATAGCAGCTGTCCGAACAATATTTGGAAGTGAGAGGCATGCATATTGCTATAGGCATGTGAAGGAGAACTTCAGTGCAGAACTAGTTAAAGCAAACAGAGGCAAGAGGAAGACAAGTAAGTCCATGAAGGAAGATGGGTTGCAATTGCTTGATAATATCGCATATGCAAGGCTTGATGGTGAGTTCGATAAGGCAATGGACCACATGCATCGTTTCTCTCCACAGTTATTCTAGTGGCTTAATACTCATGGAGATGTGGAAAAATAGGCATTGAGTAAGTTTCCATATCGATGATGGGACAATATAACTACAAACCTTGCCAAATCATTTAACGCTTGGTTGGTAAAGGAGAGGAGGCACAACGTTGCACAGCTTATCCATGAGCACCGTGAAAAGGTAGCCAAAAAAATGCATGCAACTAGTATGACAATGGGTAGATGGAGAAATGGAATAGGACCAAATATTGATGAACAAGTAAAGAAAAATGTTGCCCTTGCTAAACCTATGTTGCCTAAACCATATGGTGGGGGCAGGGTTGTTGTCCACACATCCCATGGAGCCTTGCGTGTTGATCTCGGTGTATATACATGTAGTTGAGCAGCTTGGCAAATGTTGGGGATCCCGTGTCCACATGCTTGTATAGCCATAAAGTCCATGCACGAAAATGTCTATGACTTTGTTGAAAATTGCTACAAGATCACATCCCAAGAAAAGATTTACTCTCGCTGCATGATACCAGTGGTCACCACCGACAGGCCTGACCCAAATACCATTTTGACAGAAAATATTTTAGAGCAAATTTTTCAATTCCCACCTCAGACTAGTCGACCTGCTGGAAGGTCGAGAGCTAACAGATGCGAATCACAATTCCAGAATAAGAAGATATACCACTGTGCAAATTGTGGTGAAGCTGGTCATACGCAAAGGAACTGCAAAACCCAAACCTAGAATGAAAGTGGCTGTAAATGTTAGAACAGGAGACATTTTTAGCTATTTTGACCCCTTTGTAATTTTTTGGGCAAAGGGTTTAATGTAAATGATGCACAACATACAGAGGGTGTAAGTAATATGTACTGCATGCATGGGTTGCAAGCTTTTTTGGGTGACAAGCAAACATTAAGTGCAAGTATGACCTTAATGTTGACTTGTCATTTAATACAGAAAATATCGTTACTATCAGTGGAAATCTGGTTTGTTGTCAATGGTTAGAGTAGCGTTGTTAATAACTATCATTTTGTTGTCAATGTCAATATTAAATAGTGAATGATATTGTGTAACCAATCTTCTGAACTCCTTCACATTATTGCCCTGTAATGAATGAAGATGTTTTATTATCTTGACCTTTATGCCATTTTCACTGAACTTGGTTACGTCTAATATCAATGACTGGTTCTCTGGAACTCAACTATACAGCTTAGGTTTAGTCATCATATACAAATGTGTTGTGATTCTATATAATTGTGTTGTCAACATGCTTCCAATGTTGCTTGGTTCCCTGATCAGTGGCCGGTTCCCTTCATTCCCCTGAACGGAAGTTCCAGTGTTTGTGTCATCAATTCCTATGACGACATTGTCATTACGGTTTAAAGTATTGTGCACGTGCATGCCGCGAGAATAACATCCTCGTGTCCGGATCAGTTTCCCCTGTCTGCAACATCCAGTTTCCATGTTGTTAATTAATTTGATCATGTTGTCATTATATATAGAAGTGTTGTCATCTTGTATAACTATGGAAAACATCTGATTTGCCCGACTTCCCTATCTGTTGCCCCTGAATGCGACTTGCAACTTTACGTGTCATTAACTGCTATGATAGTGTTGTCACTATATTTAAAATTATTGTCACTTCAGCTACCTGGGTTTCTCCATTACTCTCCTGATTCAAACTTCACTTTCGGTGTTAACTCAAATGATGGTGTCATCACTTCATATGCAAGTGATGTTTAATTTTATGATGGTGTTGTCATTATATATGAAAATGTTGTCAACGTGCAAAATAAGGAGGACATCTGATTACCCCATTTTCCTACATAGGGTATTCCTAGAAGCAAACTTTCTACTTTCCGTGTTGTCATTATATATGAAAGTGTTGTCATTATCTTTGTAAGTGTTGTAAATGCCCAACTCCTATTTTTATGCAAGTCTTTAGCCCAGATTTCTGTTTTGATTGGCTGAAACACAAATTACTAGTTCACGTGTAGTCAAAATATATGAAGGAGTTGTTGTTCTTAATGAAAGTGATGTCAATGTCCCTATCAAGGGTCTACATTTCAAAGCAACTAGAACCTGTAATGAAGTTACCTAATAGCATGGTGTCAATAAATACGGAAATAGTGTTAAACCATTTATAATAGTTGTCAACGTAGTTCATACATTGTCAGAACTTGAATTTCTTACAACATAAGTGGTGTTTCCAAAGCACACACACACACCAGACATAAGATCACCACTTGGCAAACGGTTTGTTTCTGTATAAAACAAGTGGTTCATATGTAATATAAAGCCTAACACCAACCGCAACCAACCATGTATACTACTTGGATAAATGCTGCTGCTTTGTGGTCTTCTTTTCTTCTTGAAGCAGTTTCAAAGCTTCAATCCTCTTATCGTTTCTCTCATGGTTAACCAGCCACCACAATAGGTCACATCTAAATATAGTGACTTGTTCATCTGTGTAATCCAAAGCCACATCCGGGGACCATTTGCTTAACCATATCAAAACATGTACACCGCAGTCTCTCCTAGGCAGGAAAAGTCATTCATAAATTGTTAGTCAACTGAAAACAATTTATGTTCAATAATGATTGGTCAGAGTCAATAGCACTCACAAGTTGGTTTGTTGTGGAATGGGGGGCATTATTATATCTGCCTTTGGCTTCTTCCCATTGAGCTCTGGTTTGACCAATTCAATTATATCATAAAAGCGATCCCTCTAAACATAAACACATGACCATAGTTAATATAAGTAACAAGTTAATATAATAAGAACATCACTATTAAGGTTCTCTTATTCAGTTCTTACGCATGCATTGTTAGTGGCTCCTTTAGGATCCTCTAGAAATCCCTTTCCCTTGCCTTTCTTCTGCTTAGTAACATCGACCTTTATCAAATCAAGCACATAAAAATTCAATGTCTTCGGCTGGAGGACATAATAGAACCAGTGGTCAGCCACAAGAGCAGGCCCAAAAATCAGATCACAATCTCCTATGTTGTACCCAACATGCTCGGGTAATATTTGCTTTTTGTGCTCAGAAGCCCTTCAACTAACAGGACGTGACACCATTTTCAGCTGCAATTTAAGCTTGTGTTAGAAACAGACAAATAACACCAAGGCAATGAAATAAGTTATTCATCTAACCATGAAGTAGGCATCAAACAAGTGTCTTTTCACATTTCCTTCCTCTTTCATATCAGTCATCAAGGTCTTACATACAAGTGATATCAGCTGCGTGTTTATTTTCTAGATCCCACCTAGTGAAAGTAGTTCTTCCCGAGTGAGTACTTCATCATGCATATCAACTATTGGCCTGAAAAAGTAACAAAAAATAATTCAGTCTTGAATATGATTTTGTTGTCAACTCATATAGCTGACGAGTGAAAACATAATGAAAAGTTGTCATTTTATAATAACTTACTGGTCATCCTGATCCCATGGAGGCATCTTGGATATGATTTTAAAAAATTTATCTTATCCTCCAAAGTCCTCTTTCTCTTTTGCGTTTCCTTCATCTAGATCCATGGAGATCTAATTGCTGGTTTAATCACCCTCTTTGATCTTCAGAGTTGTTGTCCCTCCTCCACTCCTTCCCCACGCATATCACAGATTGCTTGTCCTTCATTGGTAGCCTCATCATCATCACCTTCTCCTTCTCCTTCTTCTTCACCGGTAGATTTATCCTTGTCACCTTCTCCTCTTCTTTCTTCTTCACTGGCAGATTTATCATCCTCAACTTCTTCTACTCCATCTTCTTCACTGCTACATTTATCATTGTCTCCCTCTTCTCCTCCTTCTTCTTCTTGTACAGATTTACTCTCTTCTCCTCCTTGTATGGGAGACTCATCATTATTCCCACTTGCATTGTCCTCAAAATTTTCATCAATGTGAAAACTGTCATCAACTCTTCCAACTCCTTCTTCTTCCACGTCAATTGGCTTCTTACTTCCCTCTTGGACGCCTTTTTTATGTGCCTCTTTTGTCAGCTGAACCTTCAGCAACTCTTCCGTAATTACAGTGAGTAGTCTTTTATTGCTCTCATCAATAATAGTCACCAATCACCCATAAAGATTGTTCAGCTCCTGCAACAAATACCATCAAATTCAACATAATCTACATACTAAACAACTAAAAACACTAGACAGAGTAACACATACCGGGTCTAGATAAGGAACTCCTACTCTATCCTCTTGCCCCACTTTCACATCTCTTTGTGTCCCTCCAAATAACAACCTTACATTGCTCTCCCTCTTTGTCTTAACAACTTCTTTAACTCTCTCTTCATTCCAGTACTCAATAGCATTTACAGCATCATGCACATCATTTTTTTCAGCCTGAAGTGCTCGCAAAAATATATATGCAACATGAAATAAATAAAATTATACAAATATTAATTAAATCAAACATTGACAAATTACATTACATTACATACCATACCAACAGCAAGTACACACAGCCGCTCACATTAGAGCTCCCACCACTTTTGAATGCTTTAACATAAGCCTTCAACTCTTTCACTAAGTCCTTCATAATATATGTAGCCCAATCATAATGCTCAAACCCATTCATAGTGCAAGCCATCAGCTTCAATAACCGGTCACTTACTTTATCCCTTGAATTTGGACATAGAAAGGTTCCAAGGATGTACAACATAAACAAAAACTCAAATTTATCATCATGCTCTCCATATTTAATGTCATTTAATATCTTGGTAAATGACACTTTATAGAACCCCCTCTTCAATTTTTGATATGTTGGACTATTTTCATCTACTTTGGCCTTCACTACTTCCCCAGTGTCAGGTACACCAAGCAATATTTTAACATCTTCTTGCTTGAATTCCTTTGAAATACCCCTAATTCTGAATTCATGTGTTGCTGGATCATATGAACGAAGAAAAGCCACTAGTAAGTCATGTGGGAGTCTCTCACATGCTATATGTAGCAACTTTGAGAACCCTATCTTCTCTACTCTCTCCCTCAAACTTGCATTATCATTTACAAAGTCCGCCAATGACCTG